GTGTGTGTGTGTGTGTGTGTGTGTGTGTCTGTGTTTTCCCTCTTGACCCTGTCGTGCTCATGTTTGTGTACCTGACAGACTAAGAGGCCCAGACAGTTTTACTGGAATGCCTATCAGTGGGCAGCTGTCTTGTTAAATACTCTCCAGAGATTTGGTTTCACCGGACGTACAGGAGAAACGTCTTTTGGCTCAAAAGCCGCCACTACAGTTTGATTTGTTGCCTTTTAAATGGAGCAGTTGAGTCATGATAATTAATCTGACTCATGCTCTCCTGCTGTTTGGAGGAAACAAAAGTATCCACATCCCACCAGTCATTGTACAGGAAACAATACGATTCACTTAGTTTTTGAAGAACGACGGTTGTGCAGAACTTTCACAGAGTCTCTCAAGCTTCAGTCCACGCTGGAGGAATATTCTTGCAGCGGGGAGAAACTCAGAGAAACCACAGATATGTTGAGAGCTGGGCTGTGGCCTCCGTCCTGCAGCAGATCCTCCTCCCCCTCGTCTGGAAGCTGTTGAGTTCTTCTCCAGATGTGACCGCCTGATCTTTTTAATGATACACTGGCCCAGGCAGAGCGTGACAGAAATGGGGACCGAAAACAACACAAACAAGGCTGCAGGAGAAGCGGGGGGTGGTGAGACAAGCTCGCTCATGTGCTTGAATTTTTATGTACAAGATATAATGAGCAATTCAACTTTCACCTATAAGTGGGGTTTATTGCACCTATGGAGAGGGAAAGGAAACTGCAGGATATGATTATGCTGTTATTGCACAAACAGGAGGATGTGCCTGTTACTCTGAGTTTTCCAAGATGATACCATCTTCGAAGTGAATTAAAGAGAGACTGGAGATATTGGTAGTGAAATGGTTAAGATCAGAGAGACACACATGTATAACTGCAAATGTGGGTTGTTGCAAAACAGCTATTTTTGTAGTTTCACATAAACATTTGCAGCTTTAGAATGTCAAGGGGCGGAATCCTCGTCTTTTCCTCTTTGATGAAATAACATCTACGAATGTTCTCTAAAATTCAGCCAGTAAAGCAGGAATGTTCTTGAGACATCTGGATCTTGCGGGCTGATCCCCCCCCCCCCCCCCCCCCCCCCCCCCCTCTTCACAGTTGGAAACTTGCCGGTTGTTCAACCAGCAGGTGTCTTTGACTTGGTCATCCTCCAGAGAGAACAGGTTGCACAGCTGTCTGCCGCACACACAAATGTTTGCACACACACAAGCGAGGGAGAGAGGGGCCAAAGACCTGCTTAATGAACAATGGCAAACAAGGTCTTCGCTCGAGTTGGACTCTGGGTTTTCTTGTGGGGACAGCTCTGGCAGGGAGATGCCCCCGCTCTGTCTTTTGTACGTGCAAGTGGACCAAACAAAAGCTTATTGAGGAATCTCTGGGAAGCCCGGGCTGTTGGAAAGGAATGCCCCCTCTGTCTTGTGACTCAGTGCTTCAGTCTTAATCAGTCACCAGAGGGGCTGGTGAGCTGGGGGCCTCTCGGGCCCTGGCGGGCGGACAGGAACTCACTCACTCTTGACCTCTCTTGGCACAATAAAAATTTGTTAGCTGTGCACAGACGGGCAAAAGGCTGGTGATTGTTGCTGATAAATCAAACTAACTGCTCCTATTAGCCTTTTCATCCTCATACTGTCTAAATCCTTATGTAACCTCTTTGTCAGGTCAGGAAATGGCTACGTATCAGTTTTCTTTTTCTTCAAACAGAAATCATTTAAACTCGGCGGCACACGAGAGACTCAACAGTCCAGCTTCTACAGAGAGAGTTGCTTTTGTTCTGCAGAAATAATGGAAACATAAAGGGTGAGTGTTTCCCACTATATGAAGGCGGAGCTTTTTCCCCAAGGTCCTGAGCCAAACTGGTGTTATGTAACTGATTCACTGCTTCTCACCCTGACGTTGAATTACTCCAAAGTTTACAGCCAGTCAGAGCATGGGATAATATCATGAGGGCTCAGTTCTGCAGATGAGGAGGAGAGGAGTTTAGGGAAATTGGCATTAAGAGCAGATTTTCAGCCAAAGATCTGTCTCACAAATTGAAAACTGACCTTAAACACTGCCAAGGATCAAGTTCTTGTTGGTTAATATTCAACTCTGGCAGCTTCTCACTGCGCCTGAAGGGGGATTTGGAAATGGCACTTTAGATTTTGGGAGCAGTCAGACACACTGAACATGGGCAGCGGTCCGAGCCGAGGGAAGAAGGTCGCTCCTGCTTGTATGAGCGAGGTGAACGTGACCAAAACTACCGCCGGGGTCCCGTCACCCAAACAGGACAGCCGCATATTCAAACCCCTGAAGATCCACGCGGTTTTACGCAACGCGCGCAACAGTGCGCAACCGGACTGCCACAGCCAGGGGCCCGACTCCGACTTCTCCGGGGAAGACGATGACATCGACGCAGAGCTGGACACGGTTCTCGCGGACTATGAGGAGCGAGAGACGATCCCCGTTAAGAAACAACCTCCCAAGAAGACTTTTATGAAATCCAAAACATACGGACTGTGCCACTTCGGCCGGGAGGACACCGAGGACGAAGTCAGCGCGGCTCCTCGGCTCAGCGCTTCGGGAAGAGACGAGGAGCCACGTGGCTCCCGCGGAGGATCCGAAGATGTAAACAAGAGGAGCAATGATGCCTTCACACACTTAAAACACCACACAGTGTGCACCAGTCAGCACCATGTAAGGACTTTCATTTTCTAGTATTTTATTCTATTTATTATTGGATTACGCACAACTTCTACGAGTTTTAACCCAGTTCGTTGTAGATCAAAAAAGGAGGATCGTTTTAAATTCCTGGATAAATGATCAGATTGTTTTCTTTTGTCTCTGGTTTGTGTCAGTCCTCGTCCTCTTCCTCCTCACGGGGCTTCTTGACAAGAGGGTCTCTGCTGGACTCAGTGCCCACATCAGAAAAACAATCGTAAGTAGACAACTCTGATCAATAATGGATTGATTGAGCTCAGTGGAGTAGTAAAAACCGAGCAGGGCCCAGATCGAGTTTAACTCAGAGGGATCCAAATACCAAGTCTTTGTTGTCAGTGCAGATCAGATTAGTCAGACGTCTGCAAACAGGACAGAGACAAACACGAGTTGTGTGAAAACTGGAAGCACGACTGTGAAATATGAATTTATAAAACCTAGGGCGTAGATTTCATACCACAGGCCTTTACTCCACTATGCCTTTCTTTGCAACAGCGCAGAATAACCATTTGATTGTTTAAATGTGGTTTTTACTCGATAAATGAGGCCATGTGTGGTTTAAAAGATAACAAATGTCATTTTAGTTTTCCTGTCCTTATCCGGCCTCTTGTTGACATGCTTCCAAACTCTCCCCAGGACTTTTGGCAGCTGCCACAGCTCCTCTCTCACCATGCCAGTCATCCTGTACGATGGATCTGAAGAGGAGCTGATGGACACTATTGAGCGAGAGTTTAGTTGACCCCCAGCTGAGGAGCTACTGTACCGAGGATTATGTCTTTATATGGGATACATTGGTTTGAGAGAGGGAACCAGGGTTGATTCAGACAAACTCACTGCGTCACAGGGAAGGTTACACTTCACTGTATTCATGCAGGGCTTCCTGGGTAAATTTGACGCACGCAGCTGAACCCCCCCACACCTTTGAATTTACACAAGTCTTACTTAACAACAAGAGACAGTGTAATTCCAGAGTTAATACAACAGCAGCCTGAACACATGCCAGGAGGTTTTTCCTCTCAGACACCAGAGCTGTTGACTGACAGAGGCCTGCTTGGTTTGTTGTCTGCAGTGGTGAGGTTTCACCTTCTCAGTCCCGCCGGCCTCCCACAGAGCATGCACCTTATTACTTAACCTTACTTTAACTTGTCTGTTAATAGGTGAAGGAGTGAACGCAGACATTTTTCTATTCGCTCAAACTGCACTTCTGCACATTTGAGCACATTCTTAAGGACCTTATATATGCAAAGATAACATTTTCCACCAGCAGCAAAGTTTAGGGTTATATTTTTTCATGAGTGGCAGCGACCCATGCAAAGGTATGAGCTGACATTGTTTATTTAAGGTTTCCTTCCTGACCACAGTTCCTGCTTTTCTCCACCCTAAAGAAGAAGGAATGTGTGGCAACACAGAGACTCTGAGTCAGACTCAGTTTGACACATTGAAGCATAAAGGCCTGCTGCCCCCCAGTGGTGGAACACGACCGAGGTAGACATGCATGAAAGATTCTGTAAAATCTTCATCATCAACATGTCACTGTTTAAGGAAATAGGAATTTCAACCAGGAGAATTTTGTAATTTTTGGTTTATATTGCAATAAAAAATTTACTAGATCATGTGATCGTGGTGGAGAGAAACTGTGTGTGTGTGACAACGTGTCCAACCAGGAAAAAGCAGCTTTTTTAAAATGTTCTTTTGAATGTAAGGCAGCGTAAAGTCTCTAAAGTTGACCTATGCCATTGTGTGTGTGTGTGTGTTGTGTGTGTGTGTTGTGTGTGTGTGTCCTTTCCAAAAATGCACATCAGACAAAAGAATTCTTTCCACTGTGTTATTTGATCATACAGTCATCACATGAACACCATAAAATATATTAACACCATAAAATATTTTAAAATACTGCCCCGCAGTGTGAGATAGATATTCTCACTGAAGGGAGAACCATACATACATAAAAATTGCATTGATATTGCATTGTTGTTGGCATTTAGGTACAAGTTGTTCACTTAGGTACGTTTTTGCTTCTTTGAAGGTCTGTAGAACAACATCCTCCTCTTCACTGCTGCGAGGAGTTTAGGAGGCAGGAGCGGAAACTGGTTTCTGAGCATTTCATGGTCCTTCACGTTCTTTGCAATGAAGTCTTCACAAATCCTGTCAAAAGATTTAACAAAAACAGACGTCATTATTACATCATTAGATTATTTTTAACATGAGCTATAAATAAAGCACTATTTCTGTCGGGAGACTCATGTTATTAATTGAACTTGTATGTGACAAGTCAGAGAGTCTTACTCTGTTTACTACTTTGTTTCGTTTTTCTGGTGTAAGTAAAAATGTCTTTTTCATGAAAGAAAAAATACAGAAAATAATTACCTGAATAGAGGATACGGCTGCATCTGGAAAACGAGTGCATCATTGCAGTGACCCTAAAGCAAAATATAAGGTTATGAGGTTTGATCTGCAATTACAGAGACAATGAATATTAAACACAACCTGCATAACATTTGCATGCAAAACGTTTATTTTTCTGTTAACATAGTTTTGTGCCTGTGTTCATGTGTCAGGACAGAAAGGTCAAAACAGCAACTCCCATGTCAGGATGATTTTCAACGAGTTTTTAAAATTTATTTCACATCTATTATTTACTTAAGGTTCAGTTGTTTGTCTCTCAGTGATACTAACAGTGTCAACAAGGAGGATGTAGTCACAACTTCCACCAAACACAATGACGTCAGAGTCTTTCCCTGGACACGCTGTGTGCCACAACCTAGAGTCGGAGAAAACAGAAAAGACACAAACTTAACATCTGCTCATATTCTTACAAAAACATTATGTTAGCATCTGTCAACAAGTGATAAATATACCAGACAACACATTCATAAATGCACCATGGCAACAGAGTACTGATGTGTTGCTACCTTGGCTTATCCTTATAGGGATGTTCCACTTCTCTCCATGTTTTTGTTTCAACATCAAGCAGCCACCCGTCACCTGATGGAGGAAAATGTGTTTTCTTTAACAAAAATCATAAAACTTAGAAAAAAACACTTATGTGCGTTTTCTTACTCATTGGTTTGCAGTCTGAGCTGAGACCTCCGAACAGGAACAAGGTGCTGTCTGATACTGCTGTGAGTGTATGCCACGATCTGCCCACCGGAGCCGCGGACATCGGATTTCTGGAAAACATGTTTTACACAACGCGGTCAAAGAAAAACGTATTACATACCACACATTTATAAACATTGAATTTTAATAGCTCCTCACTGTCTAAAAAAAAATATGTCTAATGAATATGGAATAGTTTCCTTGGTCTCTCATACACACACTCACATTTCTGACCAGGTCCATGATTCAAAGTCCAGACAGTGAATGTCAGTTGTTCTGGTTTCCTGTATTTAAACAAGGTACAGTTATGAATGGCAGACTTTGACTGGTGTTCTGTGTGTATTAATGACTGAATGCAGCGTGTCGAGATCTCACCATGACTCTGCCTCCACACACGTATCCTCTGTGACCAGCGGTGGCGCAGGCGTGGGCAGCCCTGGGGGCGGGAGCACGGCCCTGCCACACAAAAACTGTCATTATAAATCTTGTAGCGTATTTCTATTTTCTATAAAATACATAAATGTTGCTAAACTAAATCATTGTATAGAAGCATGTGACCTTACATGGGTTTGTGGTTCACTCCAGCTGGCTTGCCTGGGGTCAAATATATGAACCTCATTGTTCCATCCCCAGAAAACATCCTCCACCTGACAACAACAAGAGAGTCACATGATCAGAGAGAGAACAATTGGATTTCTAACATTTTATTATTGACGCCAATAAAACAAAAAAATTTTACCCATGCTGCTTCATCTACAATGAAGCTTCTGTTCCTGCTGTCGACATCACTCAGGAGTTTGTGACCATATCCTCCAAAGTAGATTAACCTGGATTATGAGAAAAGAAGGGTCATCAGAAGTTGATTAGAACTGAAATAAACAACGAATACATAAATAAAAATACACAACTTGAACCAAAAAACATAGATAGTAAATAAAAATTGAAAAATATGAGAAAGAAAATATTGAAAAGCAAAAGACTAAGCTCCCCAAACGTTACATGTATCAAACTGTGAAGTGTGTGAGGTATTGACATGTTACCGATTATAAGTTAGTTCATGAACATTACAGTTGTATTTTCTAACAGTACTGGAATCACTGATCGTCCTCGCACTGCTCACCGTCCTTCATAAACCCAGCAGGACAATTTGTCTCGAGGGGACGGAGCAGAGCCTGTCTCGTGTACGGTCTTCTTCCACCTGTATTCACCGTCCGTCAGGTTGACACAGTAGAGCTGTTGGAAGGCAAACACTGGTCACTTCCTCATGTAAACCTTTTACAGAAGCTGTGACCTCTGGATGACTGAAGCGCTGATGTACATTTGTTTCTGTTTTTGCAGTGAGGAATTTCTACTGTCTGAGGCATGAGTCCATTTTTATGGTCCGAAAAAATTGGAGGCTAGAATTTAAATATGCAAACTGATAGAATTTTATAGAAAATAGAAGTGATGTCTTGAATCGAGGGGTCCAGCCTCACCTCATTGGTCTGTCTGTTGTCATCACACCCTCCAAATATGTACATGTGTCCGTTCAGGGAGCAGCCGCAACTCCCAGACATGGAGGGAGGCACGTCACCTGTCATATGAAACACTCGCCTTCAGAAACAAGAGCAGAGACAAAACAATATATGAGACGCAAAACTTAACTTCACGTGTTTCATCCAACAGTTTCTAACAATAGAGGCGACAGCAGAACGCTCTGATGCTGAGTCTTTTCTTACCAGACACCTTGTTGTAAGTCATACTCCCAGATTTCATCGCTGGGTAGGAAAACTTCATCCTCAGCAATTGACTGTAGAGAATGAAATGTGTCTATTAGAATTAAATATGTATGAACTGACAGCAGATCATGTCTTAAATCGTTTTATTGCAATGTAGATTCAGTTATTGGTTATATCTTTGATATGAAATGAAATACAAATGCTAAATTCAAAACCATGCAAAAATCTATATACTGTACAGATTTTCTTGAAACTTGTCAGGATAAGGAAGTCTTCAAGGAACAACCAGAAACTTTTAGAGCTGATTCTATGAAGGGGGCAGATCCAGGATTGTTTTCTTTCACATTCTGATATAAGGTATATTTTTAAACATCTTTGTGAATTTCTCACAAAACAATGCTGTGATCAGGCATATTTCAAGAGCTAATACCTATGAGCAGGTGAAATGAGGAGCAAAACCAGATAATAACTCTCTTTATCGACTCTTGTTGTATTTATTTGCTGGTTAAGGATGTCCTCAGTTCTCAATGAGCCTCATTAAATAAAGTCTGTGTATGGTCTGTGTATGGTCTGTCTGTCTGTCTGTCTGTCTGTGTATGGTC